TGGACACGGGACTCTTCCTCACTGCAGCGGCATGTCTTCCAAGACAACTGAGCTAGGCCCCTGTTTGGGAGCAGCTTTTCTTCCCGGACTGACTTCTTTTAGAAGGGCTGCAGCAGGGAGAATGAGCCCTATAGGGTGACTCAGTGGTTAAATGTTCAGCCGCTAACCCAAAGGTCAAAGGATCAAACAGTAGAAAGATGTGGCAGTCTGCTTCTGTAAAAACTACAGATTTGGAAAATCTATGGGGCAGTTCTACTCTGTCCTATGGGGTCGACTAAGGCCATAGGCTTGGTTGTGTGTGTCTGTGTGTGTGTGTGTGTGTGTGTGTGACTGCAGCTGGAAGAGACTAGTGGTAGGATGCGCCATTTTAGGACTTTTATTTTGGTGGGGGGAGGAGGAGCCGAGCAAACCTCTAATCCTCCCCTTTCTTACATAACAAAGCCAAACACGACAGTCTGTGGGATGAGGCTAAGCCATCAGACTGCAAGCTGCAGAGGGAAGGGTTATGCAAGAAGCCAGTTCAGAGGCTTCCTGAAAACAGAAAGGCCCAGAATGTCAGTTTTACATCTGAAAGCCTGCAAGAGAATAACTAGAATCCCTAAACCCAGCTGTGTCCCGGACTCTGAGAAAAAGATGATTTTGTCTGTTTGGGGCGATAAGGTTCCTGGCCTAGTGTGGCAATGGGTTGCTCAAACACACACACACACACACACACAAGCCAAGTGGCCAGCCTGATGTGTTTGCATGGTTACTAACAGCTCCCACTGGGAGTGTGTGTCTAGCAGCCTGAACAGGCTTAAGCTACAACGCTTAGGTAGGAGTTGGGCACCCTTGACAGGAAAGAAGTTGCCCTACACAGAAACGCCCAGAGACCCCAGACCAAGGGAAGTGTGGTGGTGGATGAAGGAGGCCTGGAAAGCCCACGTTTGCCTCCTGGCCCCAGCAAGGACCTTGGGCCCTGGCAATCACAGCCAAGCCTGCGGCACAGACCCCAAAACCCAAAGACTGAAGGAAGGGCTAGGTAGCTGGAGTGGTCAAGGCAAGATCCCAGCGCAGGTGGCCCTGGCACCGGCGCTGCACAGTGGCTCTAGGGACGCCAGACCCTCCACCTCCGTCCCTGTCCATCTCCCTTGTACACACTCGATACCAGAACGCCGGCTCCCACAGCCCTTCCCGCCAGGCAGCGCCGGGATAGAAGGCAGAACAGAAAACTGAGGGAGAAAGTTTTCTGAAAGAGGTTGCGAAGAGAGGCTTGAAGGAACAGGAAATGGCAAAGTGCGAGGACGCGAGGCAAGCAGGAAAAAGGGGACAGAAGCCGCCATCCCTGCAGCGCGTGCAAGCAGTCGGGGCTCCGGAGAAGAGCCGCCGCGCCCTTCCGACCCGCCTCGCCGAAGGTGGCGGCGGCGGGTCCAACGGGCACAGTCACCGCACACCCGAGAAATCCGGGCGTCATGGGAAGAGAGCTTCCCACCGGACGGGATAGGGGCGCCCACCGGAGCGGAGCCACAGTCCCGGGACTTGCGTTGCCCCAGCGTGCGTGCCGGTGTCCGTGTGCGTGTGTGCTCGCCGGCGTCCCCGGGTACAGGCGTCGGCCTGTGTACGTGGGACTGGTGCCGGGTTGGAGGACTCCCGGGCGCAAGGAGGATTTTCCCCCAGGGCCCCGGAGGAGCCCGGTGCAGGCGTAAAGGTTGCCGGGCACCACCAGAGGCCGACGGGCCTCCGCGCCTACCTCGCTGTTTTGGGGGCTTATAGGCGTCACGACCAGGGCTGCAGAGCGGATAGCAACAGCAGGCTGAGGACCAGGACATGGCCAGGCCTGCTTGCCGAGTGCGCCCGCCCCGGCGGCTCTCGAGGCCCGGCCTCCTCTGAGGTGCTCCCGGCTCGACTCGACTGGCCGCCTGCGCCCTAGCCTGTGGGTGCCAGACGGTTGGCTGGTGCAGGGCCCGGCAAGACCTGCGTGGGTATTAATATGGACAAAGGTGTGGGTGTCTGTGTATCTGTCAGCGTGTCGCTGTGCCATGGGCCTGTCAGCTTCTCCAAAGAGCAGTTAGTCACTCTAAACCGTTCTGGGATATGCCCCTCTGGGTACAGAGTGATGGTTTCGGTCACTGGGTGGGTCCCTGGGTCTCAGCAACGTGACAAAGAAAGACTCACCTTCAGAGTTTGTCACTCCCCAGTGAGGAGGCTTTTCACGCACAGAGTCCAAGTAACTCTGAGGTGGAAGATGGGACGATTTCACAGGAAGTCAGGCCACAAATCGGGAGCCTAGGCCTCCAATGGCCACGATCCCCTTGGCCCGCGCTGCTGGGCTTTTCTTCGGGCTATGGGGACAACCGGTCTACGTTGCCTAGGCTTCTTTCGCCCCAAAGGGGATTCACTGGGACGCGCAGGCATGTTCCTATCAAGCTCTGTGCGCACGCACACTGGCGCACGACACTACCCAACTAATCACACCTCTTGCTTCTTCATCTGTGCGCACCAGGGCCGGCTCACCCCGAAGCCAGGCTGGCTGTCCACCGCCTCTCCGATCACAGCAAAAGCCTTCCCTACCAGACACCACTTTGGGTTGAAGAAATGAACTGAGCCTTGGAATTAAATTCTGTCTTCTCGCCTACTAGAGAACACCAAAGTACTATAGAAATGTGAATTACTGCTAATATTATTTGCAGCCTTGGTTTTGGGGGTGTTTTTCCCCTGTCCTGCCAGCCCAGACCCTTACATCCAAGTCTCCAGGGTTCAGGCCAAAATCTGGTCCTTGCTAACTTCAAGCTCCCCTTCCTTTTCTCAGCCTCTACCCAGCTCCAGTGCCTGACAATCAGAGCTCTGCTCCCTGGCTTTCCTGCATCCCACTGTTGGTACAGGACCCTAGTTGGGTGCTGTAGGTCCCAGCTAGGAGCTCCCAGCCAGAAAACAAGCTGTGCCTCCCCAACGGGGGAGATGAGGTCTGAGGGGACTGGAGGACCCTCAGAGCCTACTGTTATCAAAGGAGCACAGACGCTTTCCTGGATTTCGGCATCTTGTTTTCAATGTGTCTGGGGCCCTGAATTATAGAACAGGATTCCAGGAAGGCCAGAGAGATTTGGGGCAACCGAGACCAGCATCTACTCTTCCAAGCACCTCTGAGGAGCCTGGGAAAGAAAAAGCTCTGCGGACCGCCTTCCAGGCAGAGATCCCTGGCTACGGACAGGAAAAGGATGGCTCAGAACCCCTCCCCAGCTGGGAGTCAGTGAAATCCAGGCCCAGGCTTCAGTGCTCTGCTGCGGGACTGGGGGCTCCAAGCACAACACCCCAGAAAACAGGTCACCACGAAGAGACTTCCTATCTGGAGGCTTCCTGCACATGGAACCTGGTATTGGTTTCTATCTGCATTAGTCAGCCCTAGGGGATGAGGGACAGGTGTTCTAACTCTGGGCAGCTCCCACAGTTCCTCAAGAGATGCACTGGAGAAAGTCAAGGGCCTTGTAGCCCAAATGGGAGGGCAAGGGCAGCGAGGCTGCTGGGGCTGAAAGTCCCAGTTTCCCAGCAGAGCGGCAGCTCCCAGCTACTCCCCCTTGGCCAGCCTCAACCTGGATCTCAGAGCCAGCAGGCAGGTCCTGATGTCCAAGCCTGGAATCCCCACAAAGGTGGCATCTGGCCCGCACTTAGGGACTCCAGGGCCTTTGGACCTGCGCCTTCTCAGCTCACAATCCACCTCCTGACTTGGGTCTGTACCTAAGATGGGAAGCAGAGAATATGTTTGAGGCACACTTATCCGCACTCATTCACACACTCGAGGGAGAGAGATTTGCCCAGAGTTGGCTTGATTGTCCATGGGCCAAGGGGGTGAGTGCCCAAACGTTGGTGCAACTGTTGAAAGGGGAAGAGAAGGAAGCCCAAGTCACACAAATGCGAGTCCTCTAAATAAACACCATTTCCATGGTTTTAATAAGCAAAATAGGAAACCATTTTAATGACCAAAAAACAGAAACCAGTCTGAATAAAACTACAATAGACTAGGTTTTAATATTTTCATATCATAAGCAGGGTTTGAAATTGATCCCTTATTTTACATGAAATAAAAACAATTTCTGTTGCGGCAAGTTTGATTTCAACACAGTTGAATCCGTAAAAACCGAAGCTCGTTTCTGATGCAGGACGAATATCCACAATATTTAAAACTGCAAGCACCATGCGGTTCATACAATCTTGTCATTACTGTTAATTTATCAACTAATACAAACTCAAGAATGCATCCGGCCAGCAGCGCCAGCGATTTCAAATGGGGACTAAAAAATACACTTTCAGTTTGGTATTTTTGTCAGTGCAACTTAAATCCTTTTACTGACCTGCAGAAAAAAAAGTAATAATAATTAAAAAAGAAAAAGAAAAGCCACCCAGATCTTCCCTAGACCTATTATACAACGGAACGGCGGAGGAACACCACCAATAACTCGCCCCCTCTTTCAGAAGCCGGCAAAGAAAACACACATAACTGTGTTGATCTAAAAAACGCACTTGAAAGTTTCAAAGTTACTTGTCAAGGTTTGGGTTTTCGGTACATTCAGAGCGTGGCAGTTGATTTCAACGTAAGCGCGGAACCACCGGCAGGCAAAGCCGCTCCGCCTTAGGAGCGCTGGGGCCTCTGCAATTAGTAGGGTCCTGGGAGGTTGCAAAGGGACCCTGGGGTGAGTCTAGTTACAATAAAAAGCAAACAATATTTTCCTTTCCTTTCTTGTTGGGGGTGTCAATTTGGCCTGAAGACTAGGAAAGAATCTCGAACGGGCCGTGGGCTTCCGGGGTGCGGAAGTCTGCAGCTGCCCTGCCCTGGTATTGGGGAGCCGGGACTCCAGTCTCTCAGCACCCAGCAAAATTGAAAACTAAAGTGGGAGGGAAAAAGTGACTCAATGGGGGCAGGGAAGAAGGAAAGAACATGCAACTTCCAAGGGTGCCCCAAGACAAAGTTGTTTTCTGGTGCTGATGCAAAGTGCCCGGAACTTTTATTTCTCTACTTATATATATATTTAAAAAAAAAAAAAAAGTCAATAATAAACCCAAACAAAGACACTCAGCTTGCGGCCACGTTCTCTAAGCGATTTGGCGGGGCGGGTATTTACAAGCCTACAGCCGGGACTGAAACCCGAACAGCGCACGTAGCCGCGGGAGTTTCTGAACTGCGATCCCTTCCACCCAAAGAAACAAGGGGGATATGATCCATGATCAACAACATGCTAAAGTTAAACAAGAAAATGGTACAAAATAGAAATTATTACCATACATGTCCAGCATGCAGGATTAATATTTTTAATGCAGATTTTCGTATTTTTTTTTTCTATATAATCGAGCAGGCAATCAAACTGATGAGGTTTGCGCGCTGAACGTCCTAACAGGCCTGGGTGTTCTCCGGACCCTGGACAGACAGGTCCATCTGTCCTTTCGTCCTCCGCGCAGCCTTGTCTCGGGCCTGCTGGGACGTTAATGTCCCCTTTCTCTCCTCTCCCCGCTGCTCTCTTCCTGGGGCAGACTGCGCTCCAGGCAACCAGGAAGCGGCCCGGGTTTTACGCACAAAGTTCTGAAACCAGAAGTCTCCAGCGGGTCTTGGCGACTCCTTGGGACTATGCTTCGCTGCCCTCCAGCCTGCAGAAAAGTTGCTCCGGGACCTCCCACCCCTTGGTCTCTCGGGCTCTGCTCGAGTCTGGGAGGCAGCGCTGGCGCGCGCTGCTCTTGCCTTGGCCGAGGTCCCTGCCCGCCCGCGCGCCCGCCCTTCGCCCGCGGCCCGCGCGCCCTTCCTCCCTCTCCAAGTCAAACAGGTCAAGGCTGGGGCTGTGGCAGGGACAGGGTCCGAGAGGGTCCGGGGCTGGGGACACGGGATGGGGAGTCCGGGCCGGGGCAAGGGCGGGGGCCGAGACTGGCCACAACTCACAGAAAGAACTCGGGAGAGGAGGGGCTGTCGCTGGTGGAGCCCGCCTCCCTGAAGCCGGAGTTGGCGAGTTTCTCGCACTTGACCTTGTAGGCGTCTCTCTCGCGGGCCAGCCGGGACACCTCCTGCTTAAGCTGCTCCACCTGCTGAATGAGCTGCGTCTTCTCATTCTCCAGGTGGTGTTTCTGCTGGACGCGTTTATACCTGCACGACTGGGCGTAGCCCCGGTTCTTCAGGGTCCGCCGCTTCTGCTTCAGGCGGATCACCTCATCCTTGGTGAAGCCCCGCAGGTGGCGGTTCAGCTCGCGCACTGACATGGAAACGAGCTGGTCGTCGGAGAAGCGGTCCTCCACGCTGCCGGTGCCACCCGCCGCTGTTGCCGCGGCCACCGCGTGCGGCCCCGGCCCGGGGTGGCTGGTGGGTAGCTGCTGCGTGGGGCTGGCCGCGCTGGACGGCGGAGGCGAGGCTTGGTGATGGTGGTGATGGTGCGGGTGCGCGTGTGGGCCCAGTTCGTCGTGGGCCACACCGGCGGCCGGGTACGCGTGGTGAGGGTGCGGGTGGTGGTGGTGGTGGTGGTGGTGCGCGCCGCGGAAGCCGTCGAAACTCTGCAGCGGCTGTGGCACCGGGTGCGAGCCGATGAGCGCCTCCACCGCGTCCTCGGGCGTCAGGTTGAGCGCCTCTGGATTCATCTGCTGGTAGTTGCTCGCCATCCAGTACAGGTCCTCGAGGTGGGTCTTCTGCTCGGTCGGGCTGAAGCTAGGCGACGAAGGCACCGAGCTGCACGGCGTGCTGAGTGGCGTGGACGACACCGAGCCAGCAGGCTGCAAACGCGTACAGAGTCGGCCTGGGCGCTCGGCGCGACCCAGAGGCTCCTTTTTCACGTCAAACTTAAGCAGGTCGAAGTCGTTGACATACTCCATGGCCAGCGGGCTGGTGGGCAACTCGGGCCCCATACTCAGCTCCGCGGCCATCGCTGACGCGGGGCGCAGCCGCCGCCGCCGCCGGAGAAACTTTGCGGCCGGCCGGGGCGCGCCGAACCGAGCGCGGGGACGAAGAGTGGCGAGCCGAGAAGGCGGGGAGCCGAGGGCGCAGCGGGCCGGGGCCGCCGGCCAAGCCTTTGTCTGGGGACGCGGCGGTACGCCGTTTAGTCCCGAGGCTGCTCACACCGCCCCAGAGCTCCGGGCTGTGGCCGCGCCGGGGCCAGGCCGGGCGGAGCCAGGCGGGGTGGAGAGGCGAACCGGGAGCGCAGCGGGGTGAGGGGAGGCTCAGGACGAGCGCCCGCCACTCGCTCCCTAGCTTTCTTGCTCTGGGGAGCTCTCGCTCGCAGCCGCTTGCAGCCTGGCCGTGCAGCTGTGCTGGATCCGGCGTCGCCGCCGCCTTTTATCGCTTTCCTGATGTCACCCGGGCGCGGGGGCCCAGGCGGCCGGGCGCGCTGTCCAATGGCTGCACGGCCCTGGCGGCCGGGCGGCGCAGGGCGGGGCGCGCCTGACAGCTCCTCCGCCCCCCGTGTCAGCTGACTCGCAGCGGGCGCAGCCCCAGATCCGCCGCGGCCTGGCTGAGGGCCGGAGCCGAGTGGCACTGCCGGCCAGGGCCCAGCCCCCTCGTCCTCCGGGTCCTGGCCCGGGCGCGCTCGCCTCCCGTGCGCCCCACCCCCAGACTGGGCTGCCGCTTCCACCCCGTCGCGCGCATTCCTCTCCCTTTACCCAAGCCCGTGTCACCCCCTAGGAGGCTCAGAATGAGCACCAGGACGACTCCTCCTCGTCCCTTTGTTCCCAAGCGGCCCCCGCCCGATGCGGGACGCTCCGTGTGTCCACACTGCTTCGGGGCCATGCGTGTGCTGCGCAAGCCTGTGTTTCTGGAGGTCTGGGAGTAATATGTGTTTGAGGGGGTGGGGTTAGGACTCCAAGAGTTGTGTTCAGACACGACTCTTGGCCTCTGGGGACCCTTCTCTGGGCCAGCCGAGTCTCCCTCTAGGCGGGTGCGGTGTCCGAACCCTAAAACACGACTCCACTGGCCCCGCTGAGCCCGCGCTCATCCCACCGCCAAATGCACACGACGAGAGAAGCTGCTAGAGAATCGGCCTAAAGGCTCTGAACATTTTCTCCTACCAGGTGCCCGACACTCTGAGCGCTCCGAGGCGTGAGGCCGAGGCGAGCCTGGGAGAAGATTCCGGGTAGCTCTCCGCTGAGAGAACCGGCCCTGTTTTTGTTTGAACGTTTTGTAACGATTAAGCAGATCTGGGAGTCTGCAAGCAGCTCAGAAGCTCAAATAGGCATAAAGTGCGACCTCAAGTGGCCACTGTGCGTAAAGGCGCGCGGAGCCTCCGAACCCGCAGCAAGAGGTTTGAAGGTGCTTGGGACTCAATCGGGTTTCGCAAGTGGCCCAACTGGAGCTAACTAAAAACGCAGGCTGTGTATGCACTGCAGCCTGAGACAGGTTCTCCTCGACAATGCGCAGCAAACACCCCTCACCTCAGGTCCCACCCTCGGACTCAGTCGCGAGTGGCGCGCTCATCTCCCCTCTGAAACTCGGCGTCCTAACCCTCGAGGGTGGTTCGCCGGCTGTTCTGCGTCGGGGAAGGTCCTGGGCTAGGGAGGGCCGGTGGCCGAAAGCGGAAACAGTGAGGGGATCTAGGCCTTACCGACCAGAAAACTCCCTGGAGCGCAGACGGAGAGTCCGGAGCGCGTCGAACTAGGCATCCAGACAGGGCGCTGCTCACCCTCCCTACTCAGGTCCAAGATGGACCGAGATAACGGGTTCTTCAGGAACCCGCAATCCGGACGATGAAACCCGATAGATCGCGAATTCGCTGGACCCGGAGGCCCGACCCGCCTCTCGCACCACCTCCAGCTCTCCAGCTTTGAGTACGTGCAGCGAAAAGCAGGGGAAGCGCGCCGTAGGTGAGTGTGTCCTGGCCGCTGCGGGCGCGGGACAAGTCGGGACCAACGCCGCGTGTAGGGTGCAAGTGAGCCGCACCAATGCGAACGCAGCCAATTTTCTTTTTCTTTACTTTTCTTTTTGAAGTGTTAGAAGGTAAGATATTTGTCTCCAATTAAACCGGGTCTATTCTCTTGCGCGCTCGGGGAGACTGGGTTTGGGCGTGGTCTGAGAGGCTCCCTATTTTTAATAAATGAATTTTTATAACTAAAACTTGTACTGAAAGGTTTAAATCAGCAACTGTAATGCGGACAGAGCCGGTCTTCAACCCTCTCTGAGAAGCGTGCTCTCGCAGAAACGATTCTTCCGCCTCCAGCTAAAGCCTGGGCCCGGCAGCTGTTCCAGCCCGGCCCGAACCTAAGTGTCCCGGTCGTGTTCGCTTGCTGTGAGCGCAAGTCGGACCACGGCTCAGCCAGGAGCGTCTCAAGGCCGCGCTGGGCGGGCCACCTCGGGTCTGTGTGAACTAAGGCTCAGCCTGGAGGTAGCTGGCGGCGGACAAACGCGCCCCACTCTCCCTGCGCCCCCTGAAGCCGGCAGGCAACGCCCTCCATGCCGTCCCTCCCAGAGCGCGCCAGGTGCGGTGACCTTCTGCATGCGCACCGAAGCGCCCTGGCTGGGCTGTGTCCCTCGCATGTCCCCTCCGATCTGCCTGACCCTCGCCGTCGAGGACCCAGACTCCTGTCTCAAAAATGTGGCCTGGCAAGGCCCTGGAGTTCCTGCACCCCCAGCTCTGGGCTCCAAACGTCCCGCCTTCCTGCCAACGTCTTTTATCGGTCTCAGCGTTTCTAAGACTCGGGCTTTGTTTGGGCAAGCGCGCTCCTCTCCGTCCCACTAGCTCTGTCTCTGCTGTGGTCATTCTCCTCCCGTGAACTCTAACTGGGATTTCTCTGCGTATCCCAAGGTTTTCCCCTTCCTTTGTCGCGCTCTCAACCTAGCCACTCCCTCCTCGGCCCCCTGCCCCGCCACAAAATGTTGTGGAGGAAAAAGCCCCCATCCTACCCGGCTGGGGTGAGTGACCGAAACACGCAGGTCGCTCTGGGGTGGAGGCCCTGCGGGACAGCCCACCCCATCTTGTTTTCCCGCCTCTCCCAGCCCCTGTTCCTGCTCTGCTCGGCCGCAGGGTTGCAGCGGCCCAAGCCCTGTAGCCTCCCGTTCCCGTCAGCCACGGCAGGCCGCCAACACTCGCTGCCTGGGGGCTCGGGGTCAGTGCGCCCGACACCCGATCCAGGGATTCACAACTGTGCCAGACGGCTGCACTGCGTTCCGACCAGACTGGCAGCGTCGAGAGGAGGGAGGAGGACTGGGAGAAGGGATGGCGGGCGAAATGGAGAATCGAGAAAGACGTGAAAGGAAGAGCTAAGGGAAGGGACCTGAGAAACGGAAGCTTCCTTGGAAGGGAAGCCCGGAGAGTCTGGCGGCGGCCAGGGTCCTTTTACTGAACAAAGTTTGTTGTCTCCAGCTTCTGAAATGTCAATTTCAGCTTTTCATTCAAAAGCAACTCCTTCCCCACACGCATCCCAGGTTGGGCCAGAATGATGTCTCCTGGGCAAATCACTTAGGGGTTCTTTAGACACAGATGGAGGGGTGACCCAGGAGGCTCTTCGGCGGTCCCAGCAGCCGCGGAGCCCCGGGACATTCAGGGGAAGGGGAAGTTACTCTTTAGGGGAGCACCGGGCCCACGGCCGGGCTCCAGTGGGAAATCCGCCGGGCCGCCCCGGGTCGCCCATGCCCAGCCCACCGTGCGCCTGAGCCCTGCGCGGTGTTCCCGGCAGCCGCCTTCACCAGGAAAGTCTGCCTTAGACCCGTCGCTTCCCTGAGGGCTGCAGGTGTTTGGTGCACGAGAGGACGTCTGTATGCGCGCGTGGGTGCAGCGGGTGGGAGCATATAGGAGGGGCGTGTGTGTGTGTGTGTGTGTGTGTAGGCGCGCGCCCGTGTGTGTATTGGGTGAGGAAGCTCAGGCCCAGGACGCACCGAATCGCGGAGCCTGCAACTCCAGACGCAGAAACCCCCTGCGTTGCTGGGATGTGCCCCCCTGCGTCTCCAAGAAGAAGCTGGTGATCCCAAGGGCCACAGGGTCCAGTTCTGCCAGTGAGGAATCGAGGTCAAGCTCAGCTGTCCCCCTTCTGCATTTGCATCACCCAGATGAAGGCCACCTGTCTCCTCCAAGGAGCCCTGAAGTCTCTGTCACCTTTGCCTAGACCCAGCGGGAGAGGATTCTGGTCTCCCATCCTCGGTGGCGCCTCCCTCAGCCGGCGCCTGCCTGAGGAGGAGAAGGGAGGTTTTTCTGCCTTTCTTCCTTCTACCCAAAGGCAGCTTTCACTTCCACTTTTCTCTGCCCCACACAATAGCCATCAGATTCCAACTCACTATTTCCAAGGGGAGCTCTGGCCCGTAATGCCTAAGGCATTTGACTGTTACCCACAAGACTGGGGGTTCAAAACCACCAACCAGCCACTCCTCAGAAGGAAGACTGGGCAATGTACTTCGGTAAATATACCGCCTGGAAACCCAAGGAGGGGGCACTATGAGTCGAATGGACAGCAGTGAGTATGGAATATGAGTATGCATTTCCAAGGAGTGCTTCTTAAAGCTCCGGGTCCTCCTCCATGATGCTTTAGCAGCTGAAGACTCTGCAGAGTTAGGGTGACTCTCGCTACCCACTGGGACCTGCGGAGTCCTGGCTGCCTCCCTGGGTACCAGCACACCCCACATATACATGCACCCTTGGGAGAGGCAATTTCATATTAAAACATGTTTCATCTTTTGCTCTTTGTTTTAATGTAACTACTGGAAATTTTTACAATACATATATGGCTCACGTTCTGGCTTTATTGCACATTGTTGAACTAGACAACCAGTGGGCAGCATTGCCCCCAATGTAGATGAGATGTTTGATGACAATATTCCTTTCCATTTGTCCAGGGATTTGCAAAGCCTTGACTACTCACGTTCTCATTCAGTCCTAACAACACTAAAAAGTAGAAAGTATTGTTTTCCAGAGATAGATGGGTGCATAGAAAAATAGGGAAGGAGGGAAAAAAGAGATGAC